AGACAGCTTTTAACACCCTCAAAGAACGCTTCACCTCAGCCCCCATCCTGGTCCAACCCAATCCTTCTCTGCAGTTCATCCTAGAGGTGGACGCCTCTGATGTTGGAGTAGGAGCCGTCCTCTCCCAGAACTCCCCCAGCAACCAGAAACTTCACCCCTGCGCCTTCTTCTCCAAAAAACTTTCGCCAGCAGAGAGGAATTATGATGTGGGAAACCATGAACTGTTAGCCATCAAACTAGCACTCGAGGAATGGAGACACTGGCTCGAGGGGGCAGAACTTCCCTTTCTGGTTTGGACAGATCACAAAAACCTTGCATACATTCAGACAGCCAAGACATTAAACTCTCGCCAAGCCCGCTGGGCTCTGTTTTTTGACCATTTCCAGTTCTCTATCTCCTACAGGCCCGGGTCCAAAAACACCAAACCAGATGCTCTCTCCAGACAGTTTTCTTCTGAAGAAGAAGCCCCCTTGAGTCCAGCCCCCATTGTGCCGTCATCCCTGGTGGTTGGAGCTGTAAGCTGGGACATCGAAGCGAGGGTCCAAGAAGCCCAAGAGGCCGAGCCGGACCCCGGTGGTGGACCCCCTGATAGACTGTTCGTCCCAGCCTCTATTAAATCCCAAGTCCTGCAGTGGGGGCACGCATCCCGTGTTGCCTGCCACCCTGGTGTCTCTCGAACTCTCAAGCTCCTCCAGCAACACTTTTGGTGGCCTAACATGGAGAACGACACCAGAGAGTTTGTGGCAGCCTGTCAGGTGTGTGCTAGTGGGAAGACATCCAACCGCCCCCCTGCCGGCCTCCTTCATCCTCTTCCAGTTCCCACTCGTCCTTGGTCCCACATAGCCTTGGACTTCGTCACCGGTCTCCCTCCATCCCGAGGTAACACTGTCATACTCACCATTGTTGACCGTTTTTCCAAATCTGTTCACTTCGTCCCTCTTCAGAAACTCCCCTCCGCCAGAGAGACCGCCAACCTACTGGTCACTCACGTGTTCCGGCTTCATGGTATCCCTGCCGACATCGTTTCGGACCGTGGACCCCAGTTCACTTCCCAGGTGTGGAAAGACTTTTGTAATGCGTTAGGTGCTACTGTCAGTCTCTCTTCAGGTTTTCATCCCCAGACGAACGGGCAGGCGGAGCGGGCCAACCAAGACCTGGAGATGACTCTGAGATGTGTGGCAGCCAAGGACCCCTCCCTTTGGAGAGACCATCTCACCTGGGTGGAGTACGCTCACAACTCCCTCTAAAGTACTGCCAATGGTATGACGCCTTTTGAATGCGCTTTGGGGTATCTGCCTCCTCTTTTCCCCGTCCAGGAGTCTGACATCGCAGTCCCATCCGTTCAAGCCCACCTTCGGCGTTGTAGACGTATTTGGAAGGAGGCCCGCTCAGCCCTGCTCCGTTCTGCAGAGACCAACCGGCGCATTGCAGACAGCCACCGAGTTCCTGCTCCTGCCTACACTCCCGGACAGCAGGTTTGGCTCTCTAGCAGGAATATTCCACTTAAGACTGAATCTAGGAAACTGGCTCCTCGCTTCATTGGTCCCTTTGAAGTTCTGTCTATAATCAATCCTGTTTCTGTGAAATTGAGACTCCCCAGGACCATGACGATCCACCCTGTATTCCATGTTTCTCAGCTAAAGCCCGTCCAGGACAGTCCACTTTGTCCTCCGGCATTATGTGTTCAGCCGATGCTCATGACAGTTTAGAAAATGTTGAAATATTGTATGGATTGGCTACAACAGATCATATCCCTGTTTCCATGATGTTAAATGTTGGTAGTCTACCTGAATGTAACAGTATTAATAACCATGAGCAGAGTGGGAAATTAGACTGGATGAGCCTTACAGGTGATGACCTTAGACATTACAGGTCACTGACTGATTATAGCCTTAATGACATTGATCTACCAATTGAGGCTATAATATGTGGTAACATTAGCTGTAAGAACCAAAAACACAATAAGGATCTGTGTATCATGTATGAAACCACTGTGAAGTGTCTAGTTAATGGCAGGAAATCATTCTGTCAAAAAAGGGTTAAACATAATATAAGGCCTGGGTGGAATGAATATGTGCGTGAATTACATGCGGAAGCTAAAGAAGCCTTCGATAACTGGGTGACATCTGGAAGGCATGGCATGGCCCAGAGTGCGAAAGAAAGAAACTGGCGAATGCTAGATTTAAGTATGCCGTACGATTTATAAAAAGAAATGAGGATGCAATGAGGTCTAATTCAATGGCCAAAAAGCTTCAGCAGAATAAAACATATGAATTTTGGAAGGAAGTTAAAGCTGTTAACAACAACAAGATGCCTCTACCATCTAGCATCTCTGGTATAACTGGATCTGAGAATGTTGCTGAGCTATGGAGGAAACATTATTGTGATATTTTTAATTGTGTTAGAGGTGATGCATTTATTGTTGGAGATGTTCCTCACCATGATGGTGTGGTTATTAGACCAGATGAGGTATTGTATGCTATAGAAAAATTATCTCTGAATAAAGCATGTGGCCTTGATCAAATAGCGGCAGAGCATCTAAAATATTCGAGCAGTAGAGTCTCAGTGTTGATTGCTTTATGTTTTACTGGATTATTAATGCATGGAATGCTACCAGACTCTATGCTTGCTGTAGTATTAGTACCTGTTGTCAAAGACAAAACTGGAAAGATATCTAGCCTAGAAAATTATAGACCCATTGCTTTGGCAAGTGTATTTCCACAGTGCAGGAGCAAAGTCTTTTGGAGAGACTCCAACAATATATAATTACCACTGACAACCAGTTCGGTTTTAAAAGTAAGCACGGCACAGATTTTTGTATTTATGCACTGAAAGAGATGGTTAGTATGTATAGAAGAAAAAAAATATTACAATGTTTTTATGTTTCTTGGATGCATCCAGAGCGTTTGACAGAGTCAATCATGGAGAGCTATTTGCCAAACTTCAGGAGCGAGGGGTTCCACCTTATATAATAAGAATATTACAGGTGTACTGGTATACACATCAAACAATGCATGCTTGATGGGGTACAAGTACATCTGCACCTTTCCTAGTGACCAATGGTGTGAGACAAGGAGGAATTTTATCACCTGTACTCTTCAATCTGTATATGGATGATCTGTCTAGACAGCTAAACCAGTGTAGAGCTGAATGTATGGTGGGAGAGAGGCTTATCAGTCACCTGGTATATGCTGACGATCTGGTCATTATGTGTCCCTCTAGTGTCAGGAAGTCAAACTTTCCTTCCTTTGTTCTAGCAGACAAAGTGCTTGGAGTTGTGAACAAATTTAGATATCTTGGCCACATAATCAGAGATGATTTATGTGATGATGATGATGATGATGATGATGACATCTAGTGTCAGTGCTGCAAACTCTATGCACAAGCCAACAAGCTTGCACGAAAATTTAATAAGTCTACTGATGATGTCAAGATAGCTTTGTTTAGGTCATATTGTACTTCACTGTATACTGCACACCTGTGGTGCAGGTACAGTGCTGCAAAAATGAAAAAAATCCAGGTGGCATATAATGATGCATTTAGGATTTTACTCAGGCATCCAAGATGGACAAGTGCAAGCCATATGTTTGTAAGGAGTGATGTGCCCACTTTTCATGCTGTTCTTAGAAGGTTTATTTACAGTTTTATGTGTCGACTTAGCCAGTCAAAGAATGGAGTCATTATGGCCCTAGCGGTGCCTGCACAAAGTGACACAAAATATTTGTCATACTGCTGGAACCACTGGAATAGATGCCTGTATGTGTTTTAAACCTACTTGTTGTGTTGTTTTTATTGTATTGTCTGTGTTTTTTGTATGTATTTTATATGGACTTGAGTCTGGAATAAAGTTTATCCATTTCTGCTGCTGCTGGCCCCCTCACAGACTGTAGGCTGAGTAGTCAAGTCAAGTCAAGTCAAATTTATTTATATAGCACATTTCATACGGCAGGCGTAAACTCAGTGTGCTTAAAAGCAAGTAAAAATCATATAAGATAAAATATATAACATTACATTAACATTACAAATGTAAAGCAAATATGATAAAACATAAAATAAGATACATATATAAAAACGTTTAAGACAGCATAAAAATAAGATGTTGAGAAGGTATTACAATAAGAGAGTAGGGTAAGAATGTATTATTATTATTGTTAAAAGAAATAATAATACTGTTTCTAAAAAGAAGGTTTTACCCATTAACCTAACTAAAAGCTTGCGAAAAAAGATGTTTTTAGTCTGCTTTTAAAGGAAGACACTGTTGTAACAGACCTGAGTTCATGTGGTAGAGAATTCCAAAGAGTAGGACCATAATGGCTGAAGGCACCATGAGCTGATTTAGTATTTATTCTTGGTATGGTGAGGAGACCTTTATTTGATGATCTCAAGGGTCTTTCTGGTGTGTATTCAACATCCCAGCATTATTCTGACGTCTTTAACATGCACAAATACATTATTTAAAAAACAAAAAATGTTCCTTTAGGTGTGGAAATTCATTTAACTTCTCACTGGCAATATTAGAATATTTGGTTTTCAAAGTATAAATAACCGAATACAATTTAAAACCGCATTTTCCAGCACTTAGCAAAAAAACCTTAAGTGCAGAAAATAATGGCCTTTTGTTAATGAAATACAGTTTACAGTTGAGTCACAGTGGGTGTGATTTCCTAATCAGAAAGTTTCACATGATTTTTATCTCTTAACATTATCTCTCTCTGTTTATCTGACTATGTTGACAGTTACTAGGTAAAAAGATGTTACAATGTGGGCTGTTTGCAGACATGTTCATAAAAATACCTATGATTTAGTTATGTTCCATACAGAAAACCATGTGCTTGATCTGTTGTTACACAGGGAAAGTGGTACCTTGTGTTACTTACTAGCAATTTTACTGTTTCCTGCTAAACTAGTAAAATATTGAATTGTCAGTTCCAGGAATGTTGGAACCGATCCCACAAGGAGAGGAGCAAAGTCTGTTTATCATGCAGGATGTGGACCTTAACTTTACATCTCTGTTTGGCTGTCAGAGGAATCAGTCATGGGACTGATGCTGCCAATCCTTCTTGGCTTTCTTGCCGCTCTGATTGGAGGGCTGTACATTCTCGGAGTGTTTCGACAGAGGCGACCAGGAGAACCCCCTTTGGATAAGGGGCTGATACCATGGCTGGGTCATGTCTTAGAGTTTCGCAGGAACACGTTCAAGTTCCTACAGAGGATGAAGCAAAAGCATGGTGATGTGTTTACAGTACAGCTGGGAGGGTTTTATATTACGTTTCTGCAGGATCCTCTATCATTTGGGGCACTTGTTAAGGAGAGTCGAGAAAAACTGGACTTTATCAAGTTTATTCAGCATTTGGTGCGCAGAGTGTTTGGTTACTCACCTATAGAAAATGATCACCAGATTCTCCAGATGTCCAGCAACAAGCACCTCGAGGGAGATGGCCTGGAAATAATGACACAAGCCATGATGAAGAATTTGCAGAACCTGATGTTGTACAACATCGGCTCAGCTGCAGACCAAAGAACCTGGATGGAGGATGGACTGTTTATGTACAGCTACAATATTGTTTTTAGGGCTGGCTACCTATCTCTGTATGGCAATGAGCCACATAAGTCAGAAGGAAATGAAGACAAAGCCAAACAGAAAGACAGAGCAGAATCAGACGCCTTATTTCGCGAGTTTCGTAAATATGACCAACTCTTTCCCAACCTGGCTTATGGGGTCCTGACACCAAGGGAAAGACTGGAAGAAAAGAGACTACTAAGATAATTCTGGAACACTCTGTCAGTGCAGAAAGTGAGGACCAAGGATAACATCAGTCGCTGGGTTTGGGACATACAGCAGACCAAACAGGAGTTGGGTATGACTGAGTCAATGATAACCAGGTACATGTTTGTACTTCTTTGGGCCTCTCAGGGCAACACAGGGCCTTCTGCATTCTGGCTGCTCCTCTTCCTCATGAAACACCCAGAAGCCATGACAGCAGTGAAGGAAGAGGTAGACAACGTTCTGAAGGAATTTGGTCAACAAGTCAAATGTGATGGTCCTTTAATTAACCTGACACGTGAGATGCTGATGAAAACACCCATCCTGGACAGTGCTGTGGAAGAGACCCTCCGACTCACTGCTGCACCCCTGCTCACCAGAGCAGTGCTTCAGGATATGACTGTCAAGATGGCTGATGGGCGTGAGTACTTCATTCGCAAGGGTGACAGAATGGCAGTCTTTCCTTACATTGCTCACATTGACCCAGAGATCCACCCTGACCCACATTCATTCAGATATGACCGCTTCCTCAATCCAGATGGGAGCAAGAAAACTGATTTTTACAAAGCAGGGAAAAAGATGAAGTATTACAGCATGCCCTGGGGTGCTGGGGTCTCCATGTGTCCTGGGCGTTTCTTTGCCACCAATGAGCTGAAACAGTTTGCTTTCCTCATGCTGGTTTATTTTGAGTTTGAGCTGAAGAATCCTGATGAGAAGATACCTGAAATTGACTACAGGCGATGGGGCTTTGGATCGATGCAACCCAACAGAGACGTCCAGTTTCGATACAGACTCATATATTAAACCAATTATTTTCATTTTCTTATAAAATATCCTTGATTTTGATCACCCCTGTAAGCATTCATTTGAAAATTATTTTTTAATCTTGAAATCAGTGTTTTTTTTATTTTCATATGATGTGATAAGCACATTTTGGATGTGGCTTCAAAACTTAGGGCCCTGTTCAGGTTATTCTGATGCATTGTACATACATTTACCCATTTGATTTATGTTTATGTTTTATGTTTATTTCATTTAGACAAGGATAGTGCACATTAATGAACATGATCACTTAAGTCACATAAATGTGCCAGATTTAGCCATACAGGTAAATTTTCATCTGCAGTCCCTGGCAGGTTGATGGTGTAAGTGTATATAAGAAAAAGACAAAATAACATACAAAAGCACATAAGCACAGATAAAAGCAGATTGATGACATGTCCGTAGAAGGGCACCTGAGCACAGAGCAGCATATAACTATAGACAAAAGCACATAACAAGGCACATAGGCAAAATCAAAAACACATAAGCGCTATTAATATAAACAATGACCTAACCATATAACTTTAAACATTAAAAACATACTATACAAAAGTACAGCATAAAACACAACATAGACCAAAGCACATGGCAACAAACAAACACACAAGAGCAAAAAACATAAGCAAGGACAACAGCACACAAGCACAATTAGCAAGACAGTGACATCACCATAAAACCAAAGCACATTAAGAAAAACGTACTATACGAAAGCACATAAGCTCCAACAGACAGTAATGAAATAAGGACTTACCCACTAAAGAAGAATAGCTTTAGATACTAACATTTTGAGTGTTGGAGACTAGTTAACATTGCTTGTTGCATCCCATTACATGTCTATAGATGGGTGAGAACTGAAAAAAAAAGTAGCAGAGATGCCAATGCTTTGTTAATATTTTACATGCATATATGTTAAATAGTCATGATGGTAGTTTTGCTTATTGAATCATTTGTTGAGCAAAGGAACATTTTTGTGTAATGTTCTGTTTGTGAAATCAAAGAAGGTAGGTGTTATCTAGCGTCTGTCTCATGTGTCTTGTAATATCTAATATCTCATGTAATAAAGTCTTTATTTGACCAAATTCCACTAAAGATCACACTTATAATGCCAGGACCTCTTGATTTAATGAGACTGCAGCAGAAACAAAGTACATTTTCCTTGACAGCACAAACCAAGTACATACTGTGGCCATAAAGCGAAGAAAATTTTAATCCCATTTGTAATCACATACTCACAACAACTTCAACAATTTAATTCATCCATCAGAGGTAACTTCCAGGGGGTCCACGAACACCTGTACCCTTTACAAAATTACCGGGATGGGAACCATATCTGGAGGCAATCTCGAAGCCCATTCAAAGGCTCATCAAGGCAGACGTTAAGGTCTTTGAAAAATTCAAAATAAAACCCCACACCCATTAAACAAATATCATGCAAACAGCAAACACAATACTAGATGTAAAGTACTGTGAATTTGTTAAGTTTATGTAAATGATATGTATGTTGATACATCGGGGCAGCCTTAGTTATTTAAGTAATCACTAGGCTTTATAAAACAAAGACTGGAAACCGCCTGCGAACCAGGATGTATCAACATACATATCATTTACATAAACAAATCCACAGTACTTTACAATCACTTCTCATGGACCCCTTGGAAGTTACCTCTGATGGCCAAATTAAATTGTTGAAGTTGTGGTGAGTATGTGAATTGGGTGGCAGAAGGGGATTCAATTGCAGGTACAAAACAAATCCACAGTACTTGACAATCACTTCAAACAGCATAGAAACAATAACAATTATAAATACATGGGACTGGAGAGTAACAGTGATTGGACTAAGCCACAAAATTCAATTGCAGGTTCAAAATTCTCACATGCATGCATAAATCAATCTTTAAGAAAAAGCGTAATCTTGGTGAGGGATCAAAAAGCCGAGCCCGGTTTAAACCTGACATGTTTTTTTAAGGACACGAACGTGGACATTGAACGCTGACTCTCATCTTTCTTTCCATGGCAAGCCTTCGTCATGTCTTTGTCATGTCTTTTTGCTGTCATATACCAGCATCGTGCTGCACTTGGTACACTCGACAAAGCTGACACACACATTGTCATCGTCAACAACTCACATGTGCGCGGCCAGTGGCGGCAGAATATTACAGAATATTCAGAAGTAATTGAAATATATTACATATATATATACACATTATATATTTCAAATACAAGTAACATAAATACTGCCCATCTCTGATCACTGTTTTGCACAGAGGATCCATATTGGCTGATAATCAGCTATCAGCTTTTTCCTGTTCCAAACAATCGTTATTATAATGGCCTGTAAAATTCCAGTATCTGAGTTAATGAAACACTACAGTTGTGTAACACTCTTCACAGTAAGTTGGTCATTGTGGGTACAGAAACACAAAGTGCCAAGCTGACATGCTGATAAGATAGCTCGGGTAAAGGCCTCACTTATCACTGTTGGAAGCAGGCACGTGGACAGACAGACACCAGGTGGTGCTCGGGCACCCGCCCTTTTGCCCTCTGCCTAGATAAATGCCCTTTTTTGTGAGACTTTTCTTTTTCCTTCTCTAATTTAATATTTTAGTTTTTAAATTTGGCCCATGTCATCGATTCTCCATTAAAAGCATGTTGTAACACCTGACAACGGCATTTGAGTTTTCATTCTGCCACACCGCAAGAGCCCCTGCCCCTACTTCATCAACGTCCCTTGTCACAGTCACCACAGTTAACACACTTATATTGAGCACCCTGCAGAGAAGCATCACGTCACCCTGTTACCTGTCTTCTTGGACAGCCAGGTAACGATCCTGTTTGTTCTAAGCCTGGTTATTATTTGTGAGATTAAACTATGAAAACATCTCGATACAGCCAGCCTAACTTAAAAAGGTACTACATCATTAAGTTTAACAACAAGCAAGCTAGTCTGGTGTAAAATCACACCGTCTTCCTCCAACTCTCTGGCTGAGTCCACTTATCCAGCTGACGGGTGCGAGCAGAGAAAGACGCCAATTTGTTTTCCCACTTCACAAAAACCAAAACTCAAAGTGATGTTCAGATCTCCCATGCTGCGGCGCCGATAATTCATTTTAATAAGTGCAGTTTGGTGCTGCATGTGCCTTGTGCTGCAGGCATCTGTTCTGTGGGATTTTTTTAAGGATATTTAAAGCCTATTTAAGGGATAATTTCAAGTATTAGTGCGTAAGGTAAGGTGAGGTGAGGTGAGGTGAGGTGACGTAAACTTTAATGTCCCTGAAGGGCAATTTGAGATACAGTCAGTAGTCATGAGTACAACAAAACACACAACACGTAACACAAAGTATCCAGTATCACACACTGTCAGAATCATGAACATTAATGGTCACTGCAGAGACAAAACCTCCCCCAGATGGAAGCATCTGAAACTCAACATGGAGGGGTTTTTGAGAGTCTGAGACAATCGACTGAGCTTTAGAGCTGACCCTCTCTTCATACAGATGCTGGAGGTTATTAAGAGTAACACCAGTGATCTTACAGCTCAACCTGAACACTTTTTCCAACTTGTTCCTGTTTTTAAGGCTCAGATTTCCAAACCAACAGAAAATGTTAAAAGAAAGAATGGACTAGATAAAAGCAGAATAGAACATTTTCATGATTGTCCTATCTACATCAAAACTCCTCAGCTTAATGAAGTGGCGTTGGCTTGCCTTCTTACAGATGCCGTCAGTGTTCACATCAAAAAACTCCTGGCTGGGGCTTGGGGATTTCTTGGTGCTGACTGGATATACTCAAGGCGGGATGTGACGTTTTGTAAATAACAACATGGTTATCGTAGATTAGCTGGGCTAAGCGTTAGCTGTTAGCGGTGTCTGTAATAACTCAATAAATGGTCCGTGAAAAAAATATTTTTTCCAGCGGATATCTTAGTTACAACATGATTGAGCTAGCAAAGCAGTTTTGTGTTGCTATGTGTGGTATTTATTCAGTTTTGGGAAATCACGATGTCTAGAAAGCATCAGCTGACAGGGACAGCTAACAGCAGCAGCAAAGCTAACATCAGGACGCCATCTGTTAAAGCCTCCCGTTGTCGGATACGACATGAAACTACTCCGGTTAGCTCAATCATGTTGTAACTAAGACATCCGCTGGAAAAAATATTTTTTTCACGGACCGTGACCGGAGTTATTACAGACACCGCTAACGGCTAACGGTGTCCCTACGCCCCTACGTCACCCCGGTCAAAATGGTCGCGCAACTATTACGTCACATACAGGAACCTTTCTCCTACTCCGCTCTCTCAGTGGAGACACGGCAGTTGAGAGGGCCGAGCGAGAGGATGTTCCTGTAGTAGTTCCTGCCTTTATTAGATTCACTGTGGAGGCATGCAAAAAAACAAAGTTTGCTCCACGAATTCAAGGTCACATGGTGAGTCAGTACGTTTACATGGACAGTTTAATTCCACTTTCATTCGGAATGAAAGTGGTCATGTAAATGGTCATTCCGATTGAAAAATGGTCATTCCGATTGAAAATTAAATCCGATTAAAGGGGTTGGTTTATTCCGTTTGTCATTCCGAATGAAAGAATTTTCTTTAAGTTCATTCCGGTCTTTCTGTGCATGCTCGTTTCCTTGCCCTTCTGGCACGATGACATATATAGCGCGCATAGCAACGGGCTAAGATAGAGTCGGACTCATTGCACTCACCAGTTTCCATACGCCAAAGCATGGTCTTCTATCTCCCTTCTTCGACCTTCTACCTCACTTCTCCTCCTCAACAGACGAAGCATTAGCAGAACAAGGTTGTTGTCGTACTGCTGCTTCAAGAATATAAGCAAAACAAGCCCGAAAAAGGTACTAAGAATGGCGTTGTTAAGTATCTTGTTATCCGGAGCGAGGAATACAGTGTTTTCTTCCGGTAAACATAAACACATAACATCCGCCCCGCCCCCTATCCAATCAGAAACCTTCCCTGCCCCAAACCTTGCGCAGACCTGAATAAAGGCGATTAAACTGATCATTCGGAATGAATATTTCCCATGAAAACTACCTGGAAAGACTTTAATTCCGAATGATTTCATTCAGATTTATTTCATTCTGAATGAGAAGCCATCATGTAACAGCACCCAGTAACTGATATACAAATGGTCATTTTGCAGGTGAGGTGTTTTTTAAATGGAGGATCAACTGTGTAGAACCCCCAGAAATGCATTGAAGGTTGACTAAACCCCTTAAAGAAAAATCATGTCGGAAATAATGTGGAGAGCTGGTGATAACTTTGGTAGTAATATCACATGTCACGCAGGCACACACACACACATTCACACTTAGCTAAATCGGGAGAAGCAAGGTTTTGGAGGTCCAGAGCTACGTCACTGTTAATTTCTGGGTGAATGAATGGGGTTGTAGTAGGAGTCATCCTGAATTAAATACATAAACAGTGAGTGGTCATGGCAATGGAGGCAGACGGGCTTGGGAACAATGGGCCCTTTGGCAGGATGCTGGTATCCTGAGTGTTGTGCCTGTACTTGGTGGTGAGGGGTTTTGAAGAAAAATGACCCATTGTCTCTCTCATCCTGCTTCTGAGCCTGAGCAGTGAAACGATGCCTCTGGATGCCTGCCCAGGATGACCTACCAGAAAGCATAGAATAAGCGCCTGCTTATCCACATGGACAGGTAGGTACAGACTTTAATATTCTTTTTTTCCCCTTTGGTGCTGTGGATTATGCTGTTCATAGTATGAAGATGTTGTTTTTATATACATGAACAAAGGCTTTGGTTTTTGCCACCATTTAAATTCAACTGGAGAAATAGAAGTTCATGTAACTTGAAGTGGCAGAAAATAAGTAGATTGCTTATTACATTTTTCTATTCAATCTTAAGAGAGTCCAAGTGGAGCTTAACACCGTGCTGAGAGGTTTAGTTTTAAATGCAGCCGACCATTATGTCACACTGTGTTGTCGTCTCACAGGGTGTTGCTGTTTTGTGTTTTATCCTTGAAAACCCAACTGACTTTATTATGTGTTGTTTCATTCACAAATTGGACACAGGACGTTACTATGTTGCCACAGACGCTTAAATTAAAATCTGGTTGTATCTGCCTGATATCCTGTAAATTTAAATGGCACTGTTTTTGTACAGCAAAATAAAACAAAATCATAGTAAGTAGAAGTTTTAAAAAAAGAAGAAGCTATTTCAGTGATACAGAGTGCAAGCAGTTTAACAGGAAAGCAGTTGTCAGCCCAAAACAATAGATCCACAGCACATAAAACAGTCCTTCCTGTTTTGGCGCCTCCACGTTGAACTGTTGTAGGATTTTACATACCTCAGCTGGGTAGATGCTTTGAATGCCTTAAAATACTCTAAATAATTCAGCCGTCATGTTTATGTAATCGTGAAGATCTGACACCATTTTTTTTTTATAATGTTTTTCATCTAATGTTACTCAGTGTTAACCGGGTCATTGCTCCTAAAATCAGTAATCTTATCCTGTCAGTGATAACAGACAGGTCACTGACATCAAAGTGACTTTGAAAGTCAAACAAATTTGTCAGATGTTCACAGAAGTCTGGGTTATAGGTTTTCTTATTTGCTTTGAACAAAACAGTTCACACACAGGCCTTGACTGGAAGTTGCTGGTCAAAATGACATTATTTGCAAATGCTCCAACATAATAAAACATTACAAACATTAGCAAATATTTCCATCAGTCAATACAGCTTGTGGTCAGATTAATATATTCCTACTAAACTAAATACAGCTCTGAACAGCCAGTTCAACCTTAATTTGTGTTATATGCCTGAGCTATTAGTTGGTACGTTACAGAGTAATGCTATGTGCCAAAAACGACGAGCATGAGTTGTATTCTCGTCTCCAGAGATGATTTTACTAGAGTTGACCCTGCTGCACTCTGCACCTGCACTTTTGACCCTTTTTTGAGATGCCCTGTTAAAATACTGTAAAAAAGACATTTTCTAAAATAGTTTTCTTCATTTATTCTATTACATTAATTATTCATTTTTAGGTGCCTTTGGTCTTTTTTATCCATGCTTGCAAACAGCCACAGAGAGGTGACATCTTTTATATATGGATCAGGACTGACTGCTGATTGAAGAACTGTGCAAAGGAATTTCACACAGGTGCATTAGAGTATTTATAAGTATAATATAAGTATAATTAGAATTATGCAGTAATTGCTATCAGCTGTGAATAGATGTGTGAAACCAATCAAAAAGTATTGCAAGAAAAGATCTCTGCTGTGCTGAGGAGGTGATAATAAAGATCAAGTGGAGCCCTGTCTCTTTTGTGCAAGCATTTGAGAAAAACTGTGAGTACATGATTACCATGTAGTGGATAAAAATGTCCACTGACAGAAGTAGAGAAAAATACATAAGCTACATACTAATGTGGGCTTTCAATGCAAACATACATTTAACCTTACTGAACACAGCTTTTTATTATTCCTGAAACTAGGGCCCTCCACACACAAAAACAAAAACATACACAAAATACAACTTATCTTACATCTCCTGCAAAATCAAACACTTCATTCAACCACACTTAATATTGTATTCATGCATTACAGCTTTAAACACAAGCACCAAATAAACAGCTCTTTCCACTTGCCACCTGCACACTGATGTGCTAAGTATAAAACACCAATATCCAGAGTCTGGGTGCAGGTGATTGGTAATTGAGTGTGGTATTTATAGCAGTGTTTAGCAAACAACATAACACATGCTTTCAATTTTGAATGATGTGTCTAATGTAGATAACAATATGTAGTTATTTGCAAAAAGTGTGTTTTAGAATTTTTAATTTTAGTGTTGCAGACAATGTGCTTATGGCTTGGCATACCTGATCAATAAACAGGCCACGTGATTTTCAATAACTGTGCTGCAAGTGCCAGTTTTTGTGTCTTGGCAATTGCAAAAAACAAAACAAAAAAAAAGCAACATATATTAAATAGCAGTTTAATTCTATTTAGTGAATGTAGAAAATATTCCCTCTGCACATTAGCAAGTAAATCTTGCAGGTTGATGTTTAGCCCAGTCTGTTACGTCTGTTAGCCAGTGCCTTTTGCTCAGCAGATTGTCTTGTCTTGTCTTATCACTGGCATAATAGCTGAGTTTTAAATGTCACATGTTCACTAGTACATTATACAGTGCACATATACAGTTGTGATCTTTTGTTGCATAAGTGAACACCAAAGAAAGAGGGTGTATCACTGTTAACAGTGTAATCCTGCAGCATTGCTACCAGGAATTCGCTGAGTTGGAGAAGGGCGACTGCACCAAGGCATCTGGAAGGAGGGAGCTGCAGTAAACATATCTCTGGTAGTCCAAATGACCCTGACTAGGTCTGCTGCTCCTTTGGGCTTGCCCCAGATCAGCCCATGACATGGCCAGTTAAGACAAGATAATGTCAAAGATTAAGGCCCTGCAGCTCTGCAAGCAAAGCGCTGTTATTTTGTTTATTTGGTTGGGTAGCTGTGTGTTGGATTTTACTGCCCTGATGAAAAGCTCATCAGCAAGTGTAAAAATAATGACGGGGAATAATACAGTTAAGAAATACGTTCACCTTGTGAGCTGAATCCTCTTTTATTGATCCATCTGTTCAATTCTAATATATTGTGACTTGTCAAATACACAGCCCTAGTTTTGAATATACCTCATCAACAATGCATATTATCATATTTTTTTCTATTTTCAGTGTTTGTGTTCAATGTTTTCAATGAGCTGTCAAGATCAAATCTAAATTACTCTGCTCTGCTCATGATCTACTTTAATAATATAGGGCATGTAAACCAGTGGCGCCCCAAGGGGGGGTCGCTGGGTGCCATAGCCCCCCTGATACAATTACTGTAGCTCACTTTTTGAGCTTGCGCAAAGATGTTATCTAACTAGACAACCTACAGCATCTATTGGTACCAACCAGGTCGGCCTGGCTTGTCAGCAAGAGGGCTGAATAACGCACCAAATTCAGACTAAATTTTAAAGAGGGAACTCCTGGAATGGCCACTTTAAGAGGTGTCCCTCGAACTCCCACCTTAAAGCCCCATTTCCATCAAACACTTTCGGTATGGTACCTTTGGAACCAAAAGTAACCCTGAAGACATGGTGCCTAGACCCTAGATCTGCTCAGCGTTTCCACCTGAAACATTACTCTTAAATGTAGGCTCTGTCCAGCACTCGCTGTATTTCATCTTAATAGATAGAAGTCTGCACCTCGTCGAGGCTGCATGCCAGCATTTTCAGAACAAAATAGAACAGGCTGCAGTGAGAGTCTCTCTCCATTGGATATTTACTAACAGCAGGTTTGTGCATTTAGGAACAAAGCTCCACAACCCCCTTTGTTTTTCTCCAAGTGAGGTTTAGAATATATGCAGTTCACATTATCTGGTTAAAATCAATATATATTTTTAAACACTTGAAGATCCACTCATTACTAAAAGTGTTTGTCATCCAAGAGACAATAAAGTAATGGTCAAAGTTGTCACAGTGAAATTTAAGGTGTGCTGATGGATTCACGTCATCAACTCAGTCATTAAGTAACATTACCGGCAGTCGGCCCAGTGAATTATTTTTCTCTGCCTACAGCTGCTGCAAGAGGCAGCAAAACATCCTTTCATTTTATAGTTACAGTCTACTAATATATGTAAAACTCTCAAAACCAGCCACAACTCAGCCCTGAGCAGAGTGACTGTCCTCTACTGACCAATCAGACTGCAGTGTTCACAGCTCCACCTTTTAGTACCAGATCTGTGTGCTAGGTACCCCAACAGAGGGGGGACCAAACATGGGGACGGTAAGGAGCGGTTCCATTGGTACCATCCACAACTTTTCACAGTGGAAACAGAGAAAAAGTGTACCAAACTACTAGCCTGAGTGTCAGACTGAAGCTCCTAGAACCTTCAGTCTGACATCGCCTCCATTGAAGGCGATTTACAAGGGGGAGGGAATTTGATTTTTCCCTAACCAATCAGTAGAGATCAACGACTCACCCAGAGTCTGACGTCATTAGTATCCATGCCTCGGGGGTGCCGAAAACAAGCGAGCATAGCCCGTTTAAAATGTCTCCGTCGTCGTGCACGCCCAGCTGCATCGCCGTTAAATCCAGTTTAGCAGCTTCCTTAATTTGGTCCTCCATTAACGCGAGTAGTGGCGAAATACCTCGATAGCATCGTTAATGTGGTCTGTAGGATCTGTAGTGGTCGCCATTGTTGCTATCCTCACCAGTTACCCACCAACGCACAGCTTGACATCAGCGTGGCGCTGATTGGCTAATCGCTAGACCCGCCCCCACCCCCGGCGTTCATTGGTCCGTCCACCGTTTGGACGAGATAAATCGCAAATTCATTGCAGTATGCCAGACCAGAGGTGCAAGCCTACTCAGTTGAGTGGGCGGGGTCTATGGTCTGGAACCAGGTTACCAAACTACATACTGATCGGTGAAAACAGGGCTTTTGGTATCTATATGAAAATGTTCTTTACAGTTAATGTACTCTTTCAAATTAAAACTATTTATTGGCCTTTTTAAGGAAAAGGATAACCAGCATATTTGAAGAGCAATGAATCACTTAACATGGAAAGATACATAAGACATTATTGCAGGATTGTTGTGGAGCTCAAAATGTAAACTCTACCGATATAAGTCCATGTACAACAGATAATTAG